ACTACCACAAGGCGTGGATTTTTTAAAGAATATTTGCAAACAGTGTTCATTTTTGGCAAAATAGTCTGGCTGGCCACGATGCCATTTGAAAAATGTGACCGGTTCCCATGTTTCGATCCAAACATATTGATCATGTCGATCACCGGTAAAAGCTCCAACCCGAAGTAGTTGACGTTTGCCTATGAAATCAACAAAAAAATAAATAAATTAAATTAAAAATAATTAAATTCCATTTTATTTTAAAATTTTTTACCAAATGTCCGGAGTACCAATCTTGAGATCTCTTGCCATTTGTAGGCATTTTCTATGTCACAAGAGACATATTTGGCGACGACAAGATGGATGAAACCAAGAAATAATTTTGTTATTTTCATTTTTTTTTTTTTTTTTTGTTACACAATTTCAAATCATTAAGTTTACCGTGTGGTCAGTTGATATATAATAGAAATTATTATTATTCGATTGGTACAATCCTGCAGATTCCGTGGTGTATATTATGGTAGCAGAATTAACTCACTTGTTTTGATTTTATTCATTTTTAATTGACACATTTGCGAGCTTTGCCGAATGACGCCAAAAATCTAACTAAAGGAAGTTCACAATTTCTAATACCTTCAGTTATGCTTATCCGAATATTTATCATAAAATTTTACTGTTTGTTGGTGTTGAACTTTATTTCGAATTTCTGCAATGTAGTTGCTAATGACGTCATTGGCAGTTGATAACATAAACATTGGGCATATGTTATTGCTAACTTAATATTGGTGTGTTTTTAATAAGTTTTACAGCAAACGATTTATATTAAGTTTTGCAACATCTTTGTTAGAAAGTCGAACTACAGAGGAAAAATCTACATACATTAGCAATATTTTTATAAGGTTTTGGCCTCATTTTTCAACCACAAGGGCTATAATTTGGCATTCCGAGTTTTTGAAGGTTGACACAAATCTATGATTAATATAGGTTCAGACGGTATAGGTTGTAAAAATACGACGTAATGACTTTTTAATTTTTTTTTTTGGAAATTTATGCTATAAGAAATGTTTCCTAGCGTACACATTTGTCGATGGCATTCTTCATTCTTGAAGAAAATAATTCGCTGGGAAATTTAATTTAAAACTTTTATTTTAAATTTGGAAATGCCACACATTTTAAAATTATCTTTAAATTAAAATTAGCAACCGTTCCAAAGAACTAAAAATAACTTTAACGCGACTCAGAGGCAATGTATTTTTTGAAAAATTCTGGATTTTTAATCTCATGTGTTTGAGTCTGGTATAGGCACAGGTTGAATGTTAGCTCTTAACAGAGTTAATAGAACTTTTTTACGAATTGTCGTTTTGTTCGTATCACCTATATACAGCACTCCAAGGTATATTAATAAGGTAACCGTATCAAGGCAGCTGATGGTAACATTATATGTCAAATATAATTTTGATTCGCCGTAGGAAAATACAAAATGGAAATTTCAAACCAAAATTTACTAAAATTGTTTTTAAATTAATTTTATGAACTATTTAACAACTTCTGAGCAATGCGGTACTTTTGGACTGTCCACTGGTCTTAAATTTTCTATAGAGCTTAACCTTGATTCTCTAGCAGCCACAACAAAATTCCAGTATTTGGAATAAGCGAACATTTTATATACATACATATATACCATATCGGACCAAATACATCCACATATTAGATATGATTAAGTTTTGTTTATTATTCACACAAAATCTAACATATCATGTTTACAGTCCATTATTAAAACATTCATGCTTATTGGTTGATCAGGTCCGCTTCAGATGTAACATTTTATGGATTTCGGGTCATAATTGTGGCCCTAAGAGCAACCAAACCTTTCATTACGAAAAACTGTGGGTGCTGCCTTCGACCAGAACCGAACCTAAATGAGAAATATCAGGACGATTGGTCCATAACTGCGGACAGAAGTATAGTGAACTGGTACACATGATTGATTGATTCAGCTGGTAGATATATGACCAATCCGATATACGATGGGGTGGGTATAGGACTAACATTTCGTGGCGTTATAAACACATCTTCAGCGTGGACCACATATTGCATTTTAATTTTTATGATGATTTTATTCATAAAATTATAACTTACTAAAATGAGAAGAATTTCAAAAAAATAATTAAAAGTAAAATAATATTTTTTGATACTTCAAAATGCTGTGTTCTGATTGGTAGATAACAATTTGCTTCAAAATTAATATGTCAAATCGAATTAATTGAAATTCGCTTTGTTTGCCGTTTTGACATATCATATTACCAATTCGCCGATGCGGCTACCTTATATATCTACCTTGCAGCACTCCTTCCCATAAGGAGGAGGAGTTTGATAACAAAATATATATTTTTAAACAAAACGATAGCGAATTGAGAGAGCTTATTTGAATTTTGTATTATTGAGTATTGAAACAGTAAGAAAAGTAGTAAAGTCGGAATGGGCCGACTATATGATACCCTTCACCACGTTGGGTATATTGTAAATATGTAACCGAACACTTTCATGTTAATGTTCCTTCGAAGGAACATACACATGGCTTCCTGCAACCTATGCTAAATTTAATTTCATTCGGGCAGACTTTGGTTCTTTGGTACATTAAATCGGACGAAAATATATATGGGATCTATATCTAAATCTGAACCGATTTTTCAATAGGGTTCGTCATTGGGCCAAATAAATGAGCTGTACCAAGATTCATCCAATTCGGATAATAAATGCGACCTGTACTTTGTTTACAATTTAACATGGACAGACGAACGGACATGCGTAAGTCGACTCAGAAAGTGATTCTAGGCATATTCTAAAAAACATTTCTTTTTATTTGCCTGTTACAAATATGCAGGGTATAAAAATCTTACGGGGAAATTTACTCGGTAAAGTTTTGTACAAACAAAACGCGATGGATATGAATGTCAAATCATGAATTTTTCAACAAATTTGAAAATGTGTACCTTGATGTGTACAAGGTACACACAAAAGAACATACTGGAAAACTATGCAGACATACCTAATTTTCTAGGCTATAAACATTTGTAAAATATTTTATTAATTTGATATTTGTCAGTCTTAACAATTATTTCAATAAGCATTAACATAAAGAATGAAGAAAAACAACATTATCAAGTCTTGCAAAGGCATTCAGAGATTATTTTTCCACGGAAAATTGTGTATTTGCTGTGAACATCAGAAAGGGCATTTTGTGGAAATCTAAGCAAAAATGTCTATTGAAAATATGTCTTGAATATTTCAAAGGTGTAGCAAAAAAGAGGAATTTCTTATGGGAGTTGCTAAACATTACAACTTTAAAAATTCCACAGACAACAATATAGCGGGAACTTCCAGGTAATCGTCAACATGTAGTGTAAGTGTAGTACAAAATGAAAGAACTCGCTGTTGTAAACAGAAATTTACTGTGAAAAAAATTCATTTCGGTGGGGCGCCCGGGCCGGCCCCCCTGCTTACGTCCCTGATAGGCCCCATATAACGGTACTAAATTTATTCGGTTCGGCGAAAGGTTTTCTGAGCATGATCGGTTAAAATCGAACAAGGGCAATGAGAAACATGCAAATATCGATTTGCTATCTAAAATCTTATGAGCAACACTTTTGTAAAATATTCGGAGGTTGAAAAATATTTTTGTTTCGATTTTACAGAAAAAGGTAAAAGCTTTCTCTTCATCCATCCTAACATATGTCGAATTTATACTTTTTTTAAAGAATTTGCCAACCCAATAATTTTGTTCAACATTGTAATTTGTACGAAATTCGAAAAAGCGCTGCAAGTGAATATATTCTGGGCCTTTAAGCGGAATGGTCTAAAAGCTAACAGTTATGTATATTATAGGGTAATTTTAAGAACTAAAAGCATGTTTGACAAGTAAAAACTATGTTACGTTCGGCCCAACAATCATGCAATGTTCCAAGAGTCCTTTCACCAAAAATTCAGCTGCAAAATTCGGCTTCAATACTTGCATACAGCTGTATTTTGAAAGGCTTCACATTTAAATCCTTCCGCAAAATATTGCATGTTCTTGAGTGACAGTGACCCAATTGCTTTAGTGGTCGAAGAGCGCGATGAACATTGTTAATAGAGCACGCATTAAAGTTATTCTGAATTTCACACAAAACCAACAAATATAGTTCTATTCCTTTACCATATACTACCTTAACCACTAAAAGTTCTTAACACAAGATACAATATCATTTTTTTAACCCTTTCAGTGTAAAAAAAATGTTTTCGGAATAAAAATCTTAAGTTTTGTATTTAAAATCATATAAAGGCATAGAGTTTAGAAAAAATAGCCATTTTCATTTTAACCCTCGGACAGTTTCGTCTGTCTTTCAGCAAAACGGCACATAGGATAACCGAAAAATCACATAGAAAGAGAGTACATGATTTTAAATGTCGAATATATTCGACAAAAACACTGAAAGGGCTAATGCCATGTTCTGACGGGCAATCGAACGGCGTAGTTCGCTCTCAGAATTACCTACATGAATTAACCCGTTCATACAACACTATTCTTAATTCATGTTATCAGAGTTTTTTATTTCAAACTTTTTGTTTCTTGTTTTACGCCAAAATTCTAACATATTTACAGGAATCACATATGGATCTAAATAGAAAAATTAATTCTCTTTCTCCTGACTATAGTATGAACCCATATCTATTTACTTTTAATTCATGTTTTCCATTTTTTCTGAAAATATTGTTGTTTTCATACATGTTTTTATTTTCTAAATTCATATGTCACATACAAAAATTTGGAGAATTTTTTGTTTGAGTGTCCCCAAATTTGTTTCTTGTTTTGTACGCCAATTAGAACCATGGGGAAAGAAATTCACATTGCATTATGTAGATAACAAAATTTACATCCTGCTGCATATATAAAAACTAGACAATTTTTATACCCTCCACCATAGTATGGAGGGTATATTAATTTTGTTTTTCCGTTTGTAACACATCGAAATAATCATTTCCGACCCTATAAAGTATATATATTCTTGATCAGCGTAAAATTCTATGACGATATAGCCATGTCCGTCTGTCCGTCTGTCTGTTGTAATCACTCTAGCGTCCAAACGAATTGAGATAGATCGCCAAAATTTTGCATAGAGTCGTCCTTTGTCTGCAGGCAGGTCAAGTTCGAAGATGGGCTTTATCGGTCCACGTTTAGGCATAGCTCCCATATAAGGGTACCCCCCAATTTTCGGTATGTTGAGGTTCTTGAGCGCGTTTTTCAACCCAATTCGCTGAAATTTGGTACATTAGGTTCTTATTGGGTACCAAATTTCCCAACTAAAATTTATAAATATGGGTTCATATTTTCGGATAGCCCCCATATAAGGATACCCCCAATTTTGCGGTATTTTAGGGTTCTTGAGCGCGGTTTTCAACCGAATTCGCTGAAATTCGGTACTTTGAGTTCTTATTGGGTAGCAAATCTCTATACCAAAAATTATAAATATAGGTCAATTTTTTCGGATAGCCCCCATATAAGGGTACCCCCCAATCTTCGGTATTTTGAGGTTCTTGAGCGCGTTTTTCAACCAAATTCGCTGAAATTCGGTACATTGGGTTCTTATTAGGTACCAAATTTCCCCACTAAAATTTATAAATATGGGTCCATATTTTCGGATAGCCCCCATATAAGGGTACCCCCAATTTTGCGGTATTTTAGGGTTCTTGAACGCGGTTTTCAACCGAATTCGCTGAAATTCAGTACTTTGAGTTCTTATTGGGTAGCAAATCTCTATACTAAAAATTATAAATATAGGTCCACTTTTTCTGGTAGCCACCATATAAGGGTACCTCCCAATTTCCAGTTTTTGGGGGTTTTGACCGAATTTTTTTCACCGAATTGGCTGTAATTTAGTAATTTCAGTTATTATTGGGTAGCAAATCTCTCCACAGAGAATTATAAATAGAGGTCAATTTTTTCGGTTAGTCCCATATAAGGGTACCTGCAATTTTCGATATTTTGTGGTTCTTGAGCGCGTTTTTAAACCGAATTCGCTGAAATTTGGTATTTTGTAGTCGTATATGGTAACAAATCTTCCCACCAAAAATTATTAATATTCACCCCTGTTTAGGGGTAGTCCCCATATAACCCCCTTTTTTATATTAAAATAGTTATATGATTTGTTTCATGTGTTGTGGTTGGGTAGTCGTTACGGGGAATAGTCAATTTTTACCATACAAAGACTATTTAGCCATCTGTTGCAAGCATTCCGCCTTCTAAAGGCATTGTGATAAAAGAAACCTCAAACATGACGATAATGAAATATATCGGCAGACATTTAGGCATCTCCTCAATATAGTAATACTTCCTGAAGGAAAGAATTGGGATAAACAATTAAAATATTGGGTTCAATATTGGCATATACCGGTCATTAATTAGACATAGCCCTCATATAATTATATCCCCAAATATTCACTATTATCTACACAATGTAATCAATATTGGTCCATCTTTAGGCATAGCCTCATATAACTTTGTAATCTAAATTACAGTAGTTTGAGGATTTTATACTCTACCATGCGTTATCAGTATCAGTCCACTTTTTGGATCTTGAAGATTTTAGGGAAAATCCCCATTAAAAATTGCTGAAGTTTGTATTTGGTGTACATAATGGTTTACATAAATCGGTTTGTAGAATTATCGGTATATACCCACTTTTTGGTATGTTCCCTATATTTTCATTGCATGTATCTGTCAATATAACTATGGTGGAGGGTATCCAAAGTTCGGCCCGGCCGAACTTAACGCTTTTTCACTTCTTTACTTTTCATTCATCATTTTCAATATTACTAAAAAAGTTTGAAAATTTTATAAATATTTTCAAGCTGTCAAAATTAATTTATTTTCGATAAATGCTCTCAGTTGTTAGGGATGGGACAAATTTCTTGGTGATTCAGAGAGTGATTCGAATTGAACAACGTACAAAAGTCGGTGTTCGCTCAGACAATTTTGTATTGGGAACTAAGTAATTACTTCATAATTAAGGGTCGAACAACGAATGAGAGAGCGAACAACGCTCGTCTGTACATGGCATAAATCTCTTCTAACTCTAAATTTAAAGTGTATAGATTTAAAGTGTATAGCAGCAACAACAGATCTGTGTAGAGAACACATGGGTTTGCAAGGATCAATTGGTCTGTATAGAGTACACAGGCCTTTAGTCATGTTGCTAAGACAACACAGGTTTGTATAAAGTGCAATTGGCCTGTATAGAGAACACAGGGACTTATAAATACCATTTGGTCGGTGTGAAGATCACTGAGGTTTTTAAGGACCAATAGGGGAGCACATTTATTCTTGTTTTCGAAGCGGTTATTATATATTTTTATTTGAAATGTTTATGTTATTTTAAAGATTTTACAAAACTATTTACGATTATCGAAATGAAATATTAAACTACCATAATTCTTTTTCTTTTCACAAATACATTCAACCGGTTTTGGGGTTTCACAAACGCATTCTTTCTTTTCTTTACGACGTTCGCAAATATAACCAAATTTCACATGACACTGATGGTCATTCCATTGCATGTTCGGTCCCCAACCAATTTGTAAACAGTGTTCATTATTTCCATAAAAGTCTGGTTGGCCATGATGCCAATAGGAAAATGTGATAGGTTCCCATGTTGAGATCCAAACAAATTGATCATATCGATCGCCGGTAAAAGCTCCAACCCAGAGAATTTTATGGGTGCCTATGAAATCAAATAAAAATTTAAAGTTAATGGTTTTTCCATTTTATTTGAAAATCGTTTTACCAAATGTCCGGAATACCAAACTAGAAATCTCTTGCCATTTCTCAGCATTCTCAATTGTCACAAGAGCCATATTTTGGTGACGACAGGCTGATACGGCATGAAACCATGTATGCTGAAAATTTTATTGCTTGTCAGTTTTCCCTGTTTTTGTTACACAATTGCATGTCATGTAGTTTACCGTGTGCTCTGGTGATATATAGTATACATTGTTTTTATCCGATGTGTATAATCCTGCAGATTCTGTAGAGTATATTATGGTAGCAAAGACTATCAGAATTAATTGGCTTGTTTTTATTATATTCATTTTTAATTGTCAACAAGGAGAACGTTACCGAGTGCCGCTTAAAATGTAACTCAAGAACATTTTAAAACTATTGCAATATTTATTCATTCTTGTCCAAACATTATTTATCATAATTGTTGACTGCTGCTCGTGTTGAAACATTTTTTTTTGGGAATTCCTACAATGCGGTTTTCAATAAGAGGTCATCGACGGTAGATAACTTCAAGTCGCGATTATGGAATGCTGAATAATTTTTCGAAAAAGCTTCCCAGTAAACATTTATGAATTAACCAAAACAAAAAACTTAAATTGAATCTCGAAAACGTCCACGTACATTAAAATCTTGTCTTAATTAGAATAAATATACCAAAATAGGTTAAATAATCTGTAGAGTTTTCCAATAAGAGGTGTTATTTTGGTACTGAAAGACATTTCGCCTAACTGTTGATCCTATCTAATAACCCAAAAAAACCGTGGATTTATTAAAGAATATTTTTTCAAGGACCATTACAAGGCCTGAATTTATTAAATAATATTTTTTTAAGGGCCATCCATCACAAGGCGTGGATTTATGAAATAATATTTTTTCAAGGACCATTTTTAAAGATTACTTTTTCAAGGCCTATCACAAGGCGTGGATTTTTAAAGACTTCTTTTTCAAGGCCTATCACAAGGCGTGGATTTTTAAAGATTACTTTTTCAAGGCGTGGATTTTTAAAGATTATTTTTTCAAGGCCTATTACAAGGCGTGGATTTTTAAAGATTACTTTTTCAAGGCCTATCACAAGGCGTGGATTTTTAAAGATTACTTTTTCAAGGCCTATCACAAGGCGTGGATTTTTAACGACTACTTTTTCAAGGCATATTACAAGGCGTGGGTTTTTAAAGATTACTTTTTCAAGGCATATTAAAAGGCGTGGGTTTTTAAAGATTACTTTTTCAAGGCATATTAAAAGGCGTGGATTTTTAAAGATTAGTTTTTCAAGGCATATTACAAGGCGTGGATTTTTAAAGATTACTTTTTCAAGGCATATTACAAGGCGTGGATTTTTAAAGATTACTTTTTCAAGGCCTATTACAAGGCGTGGATTTTTAAAGACTACTATTTCAAGGCGTGGATTTTTAAAGATTACTTTTTCAAGGCCTATTACAAGGCGTGAAAGAATTTTTTTCAAGGGCGTGGATTTTTAAAGAATAATTTTTTCAAGGGCGTGGATTTTTAAAGAATAATTTTTTCAAGGGCGTGGATTTTTAAAGAATAATTTTTTCAAGGGCGTGGATTTTTAAAGAATAATTTTTTCAAGGGCGTGGATTTTTTAAAGAATAATAATTTCAAGGGCTTTCAAGGCGTGGATTTTTAAAGAATAATTTCAAGGGCCAACAAGGCGTAGATTTTTTAAATAATTTTTTCAAGGGTGTAAGACTGGGAGTAGATTTTTTAAATAATATTTTCATGGGCTATTACAAGGCGTAGATTTTTTAAATAATTTATCAAGGGTTACAAGGCGTAGATTTTTTAAATCATTTTTCCAAGGGCTATTACAAGGCGTAGATTTTTTAAATATTTTTTAAAAAAATCTACGCCTTGTAATAGCCCTTTAAAATATTATTTTAAAAAATCTACGGCTTGGCCTTTGAAAAAATTATTTAAAAAATCTACGCCTTGTAATAGCCCTTGAAAAAATTATTTAACAAAATCTACACCTTGTAATAGCCCTTGAAAAAATTATTTAAAAAATCCACGCCTCTTCAGAGACCCTTGAAAAAATGATTTAAAAAATCCACGCCTTGTATAGAGCCTTGAAAAAATGATTTAAAAAATCCACGCCTTGTATAGAGCCTTGAAAAAATTATTTAAAAAATCCACGCCTTGTATAGAGCCTTGAAAAAATTATTTAAAAAATCCACGCCTTGTATAGAGCCTTGAAAAAATTATTTAAAAAATCCACGCCTTGTATAGAGCCTTGAAAAAATTATTTAAAAAATCCACGCCTTGTATAGAGCCTGGAAAAAATTATTTAAAAAATCCACGCCTTGTATAGAGCCTTGAAAAAATATTTTTTAAAAATCCACGCTTTGTATAGAGCTTTGAAAAAATTATTTAAAAATACACCTTGTAATAGCCCTTGAAAAAATT